GCCGCCGGCCCGCGCTCTGCGGACTCCGGGCGCACAGAGACCGGCGCGGGCGGGGTCAGGCCCCCCTCCCGCCCCAAGTGGCGAGCCGGGAGCTTCCTGGACAGCGCCGAGAAGCAGTGGTGGGAAGGGACCGTTACCGACCCGGTGTGGCCCTGAGCCGGGACGCTGGCGGCAGAACCTGCGGCGGCCCGGCTGGGGCCGGCATGTGGCCCCAGCTCAAGGCTCTCCTGCATGCACCCCGAGGTGCGGGGAGCTGGCGCCTCGGGTCCCGCATCGCAGGACTGGAGCGGGGTCCCCCACGGTTGGGGACGATGTGCCTAGAGGGATGCTGCCTGGCTGGGTGTTGGGGGCCCAGGGCCCAGGAGCAAGCTCTGGCCTCTTTTAGCTGCCCCTTACCCCCCCCCCCAAGATAACGCAAGTCAAGCCTGAGAATCGGCCCCACAGGGCCTGCAGCCAAGACACGGTGCAGGGGTACCCCAGGGCCTGGGGAGGATGGGAAAGACGTGTCTGGAAGCTGGGGTGCAGTGGGGTGTGGCCTGGAAGACCTCTGGGCAGGGCAAGGATGGGGTGTTGTTCTTGGGGCTCAATGCCCGGGAGAGGGGGTGAAGAACCTTGGAGAGGCAGGGGCTGTCTGCAGCCGGCCTGCAGGGCGGGGTTCATACATTGGATGAAACTAGGGAGGTGGCCGTGGGGTTGGAGCTAAGGAAGTCCCGAGGGTACCTTCACCTGGCGGGAGGGCGGGCCCTGGGCCCTGCGTGTCTGTCCTCACGTGTGCCCTCTCCCCGTGTGTCCACTCACCAGGACACGCGCCGCGGGGGGCCCTCCGGAGCCCTCCTTTTAACCTGAGGGCATCTGCACAGACCCCACATCCCAAACAGGCCCCACCCCGGTACCGCGGTTAGGACTTGGGTCTCGGGGAGGCAGTCCTCACCGTAGGAGAAGGGTCCCGTGGGGGTCGGGGTCACCAAACGCTTTCGGCCTGTGGGGCAGGACGTCAGGCTCCGGCGCCCTGGGCGCTGGGACGGGGTTCCTGTGGCTCGCGCGCTGAGTGCTGCTCCAGCTCCCGCCAGCAGGTGGCGGGGTGGCACGCGGGGAGCCCCCAGGGCGCAGATGCAGCCTCTGCGGGTGCCAGACCGGAGGGAACCTTGGACGTCTGTCTCCGGCGGAAGTGGGGTCACGGCCAGAGTGGGGTCCCGCACAGGAGCCTCCGGGGGCCAGCTCAGAGTAGCCGAGAGAGGCTCAGTGCCCGTGCTGCGCCCCAGTGGACGCCCCTGGACACAGTGCGGGCTCTGGGGCACGGGCGCGGAGCCTGGCATTGGCCGGGTCCCACCCCAGGGCGGTGGTGCGGAGGGCGGTCACCACCTCTCCCCCTTCCCCGACCAGGGCAGTTTGGCCCTGCCCCCACCTGCCACCAGCCTGCTCCAGCCCCCATTGCCCTGGGAGTGGCAGTGCCAGGAGAGTGGGCCCCGTGGGTGCAGCCCCAGCGGGGACCCGGAACATCGGCCCGGAGGGGGCGGGCCTGGAGAGGCCGGGGCTGGGTGTGGTTCTGGTCCAGCAGGCGACCAGCGAGGCGTCGTCCCAGGGCCCCAGGACTGAGCGCCGCCGCTGCACAGCAGCGGGCCCGTGGCCCCTGCCCAGGAGGGCCTGTCTGGCGGGCCAGCGCGTCCCCTCCTGGCCCTGACGTCACCTGCAGTGGCACGTGCCAGGGCTGTGGGCACGGGTCCGGCCTCGGCCCCGTGGTGCTGCCCGGCCCCATGTCTCCGGTGCCCCCCAAGGCCAGAACTCAACGGGGCGACCTCCCCGGCGGCCTCAGCGCAGCCTCTCCCCTCTCCAGCAGGTGCATGGGCCGGGGCTTCTGGGGGCTCGGCCACACCTCGGGGAGGCGTTTCTGCGGATGCCCGCGTGCCCCGCGTGCCCCCGGCACCTGAAGCTGGCGTCCGCTCCTGAGGGGACGGCCGGCACCCCCGGCCCGCACCCCCTTTTGGCGCTGCCCCTGGAGGGATGGTCTCCCCGCGGCCCACGGCAGAGGCACCGCTCTGCTGCCCCCATTTCACCCAGGGGGTCCCCTGCCCATGCAGCTCTGTTGACCCGCACCCCAGGCCTGGCCTCCGGCTTCTCTTGGGGAAAATGGGGGGTTTAGGACGAAGCTGGGGGCCGGCCGGGATGCCCGGGCAGCGCGTGGAGGTGGCGCGGTCCCCTGCTGCCCGAGCCTCGGGGTGTCCCCCTGGGCTCTGGGGATGGAGCTGCGTCCCGCAGGTCCCTCACATGGGAGCCCTGCGCTCACAACCGGCCCGGACCTCGGCATTCGTGAATCTGGGGGTCCCTGGGAGGTGGCCCTCTGGGGAGCCCCCCCAGCACCAGGCCAGGCCGAGGGCGCCGCTCCCGCCCCCTCTGTGTTTTTTTTTCTCGGGCCAAAGTGCGTGCGGCGGTTTTCAGCGCTCGGGACACGACGTGGTCAGGGGTCACAGCGAGGACAGGGGCCCTCACACTGCTGGCGGGCTGGGCATGCCGGTGGCCAGGGCAGCGCTGCCTCCCGGTGTGGTCAGTGCCGCCGCGGCTGGCCCGGGGCTGTCCCCCTGAAGCTGCGTCTCACCTGCGCTCTGGCCGCGGGCACAGCTACCGGGAGGCCAGGCTGCCCACTGCCAGCCGCAGCTCCAGGCGGGGCAGGAGGGCGCGGCTGCCTGGCAAGGTGAGCTCAGGGTCCACGCCTGTGCCCAGAGTGATGGCACTGCCTGGGGGTGCGGGAGCCCCCAGAGCGGGTGTCCTGGGGCGGGGGACAAGGGCAGGGCGGGCGGGGCAGGTATCTGGACCTGGTGCCTCCGGAGCCGCTTCTGCCCGCCCGCCCGGGCCTGGGCCGGAAGTGCGCAGAGGTGACGGGGTGAGCCCAGCACCTCACGCTCCCTCCCAAGTCGGGGGGAGGCTGGACCCTGAGCACACACTTGAGTGTCTTGTAGCATAAGCAAACTAGCATGTTCTTTCATGACTTTTCCTAAAGGGAGATCCCAGTTCTACGTGTTTTGGGCCCCCCAAACCTGGGCTCCCAGCCCGGCAGCCCCCATTTAAACCCCAGGATCTGCCTGGGTTGCTTCCTGCTTCGTTCAAGAAGCGGAGACTTTCCTGGGGCAGCCAGCCTGTCCACCGTCCGAGGGTGTCTGCAGAAGGGGCGCCCTCGCAAAGTGTCCACTGCTGAGCAGCGCCCAGCGGTCCCCTGGCCTGTGCCAGCCGAGCTCCCTCGGAGGGATGAGATGTGGGGACGGGCTTGGCGGGGGGCGGCAGGTCAAGGCCTCTCCCGGCTTGGCCAGCCCTGCTGCCAGGGGCCCAGCGGGGCGTCCGGGCAGAGTGGGCAGGCATGGGGCCCTCCGCAGGTGGCTTGGGGAGGTGGCGGAGGCCCGCCCCTCGGGGCGCCTTCTAGGAAGAGGAGGGTGGGCGAGGCCTGGCCGTCTGCGGGAGGGGGCAGGGGCCCATGCTGGGCCCCGGCCTCCAGGAGGAAGGGCGGGTCGGGCCGTGGCTGGGTCCAGGCGGCGCCTGTGGCTTTCGGCCGTCCCACCCTGTTGGTCGTGATTTTCAGACCTTTTTCTTTATTACTCCTCTGAGTACGTTTTCATCATCTGTTTCCCGGACACACGCTGAGTGCCCAGTGGCCACTGAACGGCGTCTGACCGCGCGGGGGCACGCTTAGTTTTCCTTCTCCTGCGGCCAGGTCACTCGGGGCTCCCTGTAGCAGCCAGACTTGCCTGCGCCGGTGAAGTTCTGAGCTCGCGGCCCGACTTTGATCCCCTGCATGATGGGTCAGTCCTCCGCCTAAGGAAGCGGGGCGTGGGGCGGGCGGGGCCGAGGGTCCGCCTCAGACTCGCCGACCGACCGTGTGCTGGCCGGGGCTGCCCAGGGCCAGCCGGGCGGGTGGGGCCCTCCGTCCACTCTGCCCTGGCGAGGAGCAAGGGCTCCTGGCCCCAAGCCAGACCTTGTGTCCAGCTGCCAGAGCGGCATGTGTGGCTGGGTGCTGGGGTGCTGCCATGGGAACTCAGTTTCCCCATCTGCAAAGCAGGGCGGCCTGAAGGGATCCCCCACTTTACGGTAACTGTAAGCCTCCAGGAGGCAGGCGGGGGCTTGGGGGGCACTGTTGCATCTCTGGGGTCACGGTGGGCGCCCAACACCTGGCCCTGCGACTGGCCCCCACAAAGTGTGCTTCCTCGGCTCTTCAAAAGCCCCGCAGTGCATTGACCCGCCTCAGGGCTGTCGGCTCCGGCTCCCCGGGGCGCCCCCCAGACCCGGTCCTCCCTGCCCTCAGCGACTTAACAGGACTGAGAAGGAGAAACTGGGGCAAGTCTTGCTCTGGACGTCCCCGGCCTGCGGGCAGGGCGCCCCCTCTCCAGACCGAGTCACTCCGCACCGAGGAGAAAACGGCCCAGAGGGGCGGGGTGCACAGGGGCGTGCCCAGAGGCGCCGGGCGCTCCCCGCGCGGGAGGG